TGATCTTAAATAACCCAAAAATCAGCCGATTTGATTAGTTTAGAGCCATGTTACGTAGTTTGCCCGAAAGAGAACGACCGGGTCATTTTTTTTCGACGTAAAAATTATTTTCACGTGATGCGTTTCCACGGGGGTATATAAGCCGTGGAGCGTCTGAATCACGTCAGTTGGCGGTGTCAGCCGGTGAGCTCCACTCCTCTCTCTCTGGAGCTCCTCCAGAGACTGGGAAAAGCTCATTGGCTCGCAAGCTAGGGATGGGACCTGGACAAGTCCGGGTCTTATCCGAATAGCAGCGAAACATTGCATTCTATCCGGAACCGTCCAGAACGATTACATTCTACCCAAGCCGTGCAGAATGGTTGCATTTTACCCCAAGCCGTCCAGAACGGTTGCATTCGCAAACCGCTCAAAACTCAGACGCACTGAAAGGTTGCATTTCATCTCTCACTGTCCAGAACGGTTGCATTTTTAACTTCGCAACACCGCTATCATCCCGCTATCAATTGAATACTTCAATTTGAGGAAACTGATATAACATTGTCAGAGAGGTTTGAAATCGATCAACGGAAATCTCCCTAATTTATTCAACCGGCTTATCATGTTGATGGTATGTCGAATCAACCCTAACTCACTTGTGAAACAAAATAAATGAAGAAGAGAATGATAGATATTAATCTTATTTGTACGAGTACGATACAGGAACGAACAACTGAACTATTATCGTCGTTCAAAACATCTTCTTCTCATCCAATCATATCGGAATAAATAACAACAGTCTGTACAGATATCATAAGCTCAAGAGATGAATAGAATATTGCTAAGGGCTTCTCAGTCTGAAATGATAATGGTTATTGTAACTCAATAGAGACTGAATTCGTTACATGCTAAGAACTGCAGTTTGAAGGATGTAATTCCACTGCGGGAAAATGCTCCGACAACAGCGATGCTGTCGTCGCTCACAAAAGAAGAACGTATGTCTTCCTGACAACAGAGCCTGAAATGAAGGTTATAATTTGATATGACAGGTATGTGACTACCTGTTTCCTGTCATTGCCATATCTTTAGTTTTGATTTCAACGCTATTGTATGTGCAAGCCGTCACACAAGCGGTATGAAGCTCTTGGAAACGTATAGAAATACGTTTTCCTTCGGGAGCCTATCATAGTATTACTCATCTGATATACTGAGTCACTCACCTTGAAATGCCAATAACATTTTTCCGTGGAAAACATGAAATCATATCGAGCAGCATTTGCTGTCACAGAGCCACTGAAAGTTTGCCACTCATCCGTTGCCTTGAAACAGTTATTTGAAAAGAATAACAAGCTATTAGATTACTAAAAGTGTTCCACCACATTCTTTGTTGTTTGAACTTGGTTCCTCTATATCACTGCAATCAATTCCACCAAAGCCTTGGGGACATAAGCACTTGGTACAATCGTTAGGATGTGGATACCCTCCGTGGAGACAAGTAAGGGTGACATTGCAAGCGTCTAAATGTAGTCATGACAGCTGTTTAAAAAGAGATTGCAGACCATGACATTCATATAGATCATTAACTTGCTTGATATCCAGGAAAGATGGACGGTTCCTTTGCCCCATAGTGTTGACATGACGAACATCTTTTGGATAGATAACAGGAACGCTTTTGTCTCTTGCGAAGAGGTCTGCAGACATAACCATTACAATATATTGATCAATGCGAGATATACCTGTGGGATAATGCATAACACTTCCATACTCATATGGAACCGTTTCGGTCTTGTGGGTTAGAAGTTCCTGAAAGTATAGAACGAATAGAACATGATCATCAGGTGAACTCACTTTTCTGAACTGATCCGATCTCCCTCTCTGAATGTTGTTTGAATTCAAATAAATGTAATCATCTCGATCGGGTCTCGCATGTTCATGGAAGAAACCTAATGAATGCATCAGCTCATGTGTCAAAATTCCGAACTGAAATAATTTCGTTTATAGGGGGAGGATAACTCTTAGTTTTTACATGAAGTTCACAATCCTGTCCAAGTGAAACATCTTGAGAAGTCCATTGAGCTTGACGTCCAATGTAACTCCAGCATCCATAGCCCTAAGAATGTAAATAGAACAAGTTCAAGCAATCAACAGTTACAAAGAACAGTCTCAACGATGGATGGCCTCGGCGATCTTCTCTGAAGCGGATGCAGGTATTTGCTTCCCAAAACTGCATAGCTTCTCGAACGCGTTGACGAGTTTTTGTAGCTTGAATTGGAATATTTTAAAACGTTCCGTTTTTTTTAATCTTACGCAATGAAGCATCGTAATAGTATGGAACGGTGTTGTTGGGCCATTTGCTGGTAGGCCAACGAGCATCCTTGATAGCAAGTCGCTTCATTCTCTCCTTTCCTCGATAAATTTCATCGATCTGCTCAGAAGTCAGAGCAATGTCACCCTCAACAGCAAAGATACAATGAATGAACATTGAGATATGATTACTTGGTACAAATACTCCTGTAGAATAGAATTCTTGTTGATCATCAATTCATTCATAGCGTGTTTCGGTTGTTTCGGGAGATTAATCTCATTATCATTACTAAGCTGTAATTCACAAGTAGACATGAAAGAAAAACAATTTCATACCAGGAAAAAAGGTTCTTCATTCTGTCGTATCACCTCTGCAGTAGTTTTACGAAGTTGTTCAAGCTTTCTATGAACCTTGTTCATCTCAGCCATAGTCCTACGTCCATTTCCGAGAAAGTTCTCACGCATAAGCTGTAAGTTCAAAAATACTGAGATATTTATTACAAAGAACATACTTTCTTCTGTTTTCTATTGAGTGCATTTGCCGTACACAGCAACAAGCCGAGGATTAACAGAATGAAATTCATCTGAAAAAACAAAGTTCAAATCGACTGAGTATAAACCGGAAGAGAGCTGAATTGAATGTTTGAAGCAACCGTATGACGCGTTCTAATATTATAAATGACGCTTGAGCAAACGTGAAACTCACGTGAAACTTTCCACGTGTTTTTCACGTAAGTAACAGTCAGGGGCAATAATTGACACTAAAAAGTGTCATTAACATGAACAAACAAGCAAACATATACATTAGAAGTGTTTGTGCAACTTGGAAAATGAAAAATGCGAACACCGCACCTGCCATCAAGATCTCCGACACTGCTTGAAATATCCGAGTCCTCTTCCTTTTGACCTCGTCAAGCTTCTCCATTGTAATAGTATGTAGAGGTTACTTTTTCCAGATGTCATATTTGATTAGTGGAATATATAAGCTGTTCTCGAAAGGATTGCCTGAAAAAAATGTTACGAGAAGGTTAAGGTGTTCTGGTTTTACCTGGCATTAGTGAACCCGTTTGTAAAATACACCTTAGCTGCTAGTTGTTATTCGTCATACTTCATTGGCGGAAGCTGAAGGATCGAAAACTGTGGAAGGAAAGCAATTAATCGAACCATTCATCACCTCAAAACACGAAATTTTGTTTCTTTGAGATTAGCCGTTGTTCACTTCCTCCTCCAAGATAACAGTGCAAGTCCATAGCGGAAACTGTTCGAAACGTTAATGTGTGATGTTCAATGACGTCAATGTCCTCCTAAGGTCTTCAAACTGTAAAATCTTATGACAGATCACTTCCCTAAGCTAATTAGTAGATGATATTGACGATAAAAACACCAGAAATCATATTCTGACAGCAGCGTAAAAGACATTTTGCACTAAATCTGATCTTTCGACTATCAGCTAGGAAAGCTATCATCCCATTGGATGTCTCAAAACCCTGTTTCCCCAATCAATTATTTATGTGGACAAAATTGATGTAGAGCGCGCGAAACAGCTCACCAATTGATTAAGTTTCTGTTTCTCCGTATATCATACGACCGAGAGTAGAGTCCAAATAGATGGCCGAAAGTTTGAAGAAAAGAAGTAGTGTTGACGTACTTTTAGCGACAGCACTCGTAAAGTTGTTTCGACGGGAAAGGCATACGGCAACTGATTGGTTTTTTCAGGTTTTCATCCGATCTTCAAGACCTGTGAAGGTAGCAAACATTGAAAATACTAATAAAATCTTCTAAATTCACTCGTACCTGCTTTTGTTAGCATATGAAGTTCACGTTGTGCGAAACTGTTTTCTTATGAGATGCTTATCGCTCCTTGCTTGTTTTCCATGGATAGTCTCAATGGGCTTTCGAAATGAAAAACAATCCTTTTCACATATCTTATGGTCGTTTTTCGGACGTTTCTTCATATTTTCCCGTCGAAACTCTCAATACCTTCGAGCGTTTTATCGTCGCTTGATCGCAAACTGATAGACGCGTTTTATCTTCTTTTTTTTCTAATTTCTTGATCATTTTGTGTAGAAAATCTGTTTTTACTCATTCTTTTTATGATCTTCGAGAAATATTTGAGTAAATTCTCTGAAAAGGTCAGTATATTAACCAAGTTTCGTCACATCACAGCTGTTTTACATCAACCATTTGTTACGTTAATCATCTTTCTTGTGCATCCATCTGAAGATGTCTTTCTCTTCGGCTAACAATGATTTTTCGTGAAAACAAGTTTCTTTTCAATAATTCACACAAAAAAAATCATATTTCTATCATTAAGACTAATGGAACTACGACCAATCACTTATGATATGCCGAAAGTCCCTTCAGCCAGAACACGTAAGTCTATTTAAGGAATTCTATTCTCAAGCTCATTAATTGCTTTACCTTTTAAGTTGAAGTCATGGGTGGTCTTCTGGATAAGAAGATGTCCATGACTTCGTTAAGCCAATCTCTACGAGGATTGTCTAATCCATATGAAAGGGATAAGGGACAAGAAGACACCATTTTTGATTTGTTTAAGATTCCTGGCAAGAATGAAGCTTCCATTGGACGCTTGCTGTCGGTGAATTAAAACAAATTCAAGCTTTTTGTAATTTGCCGCTTGCAGGTTTTAAAGTCATTCGGTCTTCGAGAAAAAGATCCTCGAATGCTGCCGTTGATGACAAAGCTTCATGCCATTGAGAAGGAAGAAGAAGAGCGCAATAATGAACAGCAGGAACAAAAGCATTGGAAATTGAGTCGAGAACAATTCAAAGAGTATCACCTCATTGATAGTCAATCTCTCTATTCGTTTCATGTCTTCAGATGTATTAGCGGCTGCGTAGACTTGATTTCTACGGCGTTACAGAATGACTTAGTCATACCGTGCTGGCAACACTTCGTAGAGACAATTAAACAGATTTTTAACGAAGTAAACTCCTTTCTTGGAATAATTAAATATGTGAAAAACTGAAAAACAACATCTTTAGTGCGCTGAGGAAACTGGAGGGCAGGTTGCTGATTATATTCCACAGTTAGCTAGACAATCTCCTAAGCAATGGGGAATGGCTATTTGTACAGTTGATGGCCAGCGGGTAAGATCCCAACTCTAACGAAGACTTATACTTACCTCGCAGGTATCCTTGGGAGACTCTAAAGTTGCTTTTTGTGTTCAATCAGTTTCGAAAGCTTTCAATTATGCTATAGCAGCTTCAGACTTGGGTATTCAAGTGTTCTCTGCTGATCAGCAATGATTGAAATCCTGTTAAGGTGCTGATGTTGTTCATTCCTACGTGGGTCAAGAGCCTAGTGGTAGATTCTTCAACGAAATCTGCCTTGATTCTAAAAGTAAAAAATATTTATGGAGTAATGCCATAATAGTGCTATAGATAAACCTCACAACCCTATGGTAAACTCCGGAGCCATCATTGTGACGTCCTTAATTAAGAACAAGCTAGATATGGCTGATCGCTTCGAACATGTAACACTTCTTCGACAGTCTTTTGAAAAGAAACATATTCAAGGTTCTAACTGAGTATAGACGAATTGCTGGCGGCGAATACATCGGATTCAACAACGCCACGTAAGTTCAGCATCAACTTTTGTGTACTCTTCTTCAGATTCTTATCAGAGCGTTCGACAGCTGACAGGAACTATGCTTTAGCCTATTATATGAAAGAAAATCATTGTTTCCCCCCTGAGGTACCTTTCTAGCTTTCCCACTAAGTTGTAGCCAACACTCAGACGAAATCTCTAACAGATGCTCTGGATTTCTATTTCCAATTGTGTTCTATTGAAGGAACATGTGAGTCCCTCAGTGTTATGGCTGCTACGCTTGCCAACGGTGGTATGCATTTTAGTACTAGTACTGCTGAATAATCTGAGATACAGGTGTATGCCCCATCACTTATGAGAAATGCATCGATTCCCATCCTTGTCGTGATGTTCTCTCCCTCATGTACAGTTGCGGCATGTATGATGCATCCGGACAATTTTCCTTTACAGTACCTGCTGCACTGTGTGATATGTGTTAATATAAAGCTTAATAGGTTGGACTTCCTGCCAAATCTGGAGTATCAGGTGTAATGATAGTTGTCATACCTAATGTCATGGGTATCTGCTTGTGGTCTCCATCCCTGGATAAATTGGGTAATAGTGTTCGAGGTGTAGCATTTTGCAAGGTTTCATACTGGGACGATTTCGGAAACTCTCTTCTTACCTTCCAGAAACTAGTATCGATGTTCAATTTCCACAACTACGATTGTCTATTGCATACTGTAAACAATAAGATTGATCCTAGACGGAGAGATTTAAGAGAAAGAGATCGCAGCCTCCCTGTACTCTATGTGGCAAGATCAGGAGATTTAGTTGCCATGCGAAGGTATTTGATCTTGACTGTGATTACCATTAAACGAACAATCAAGATTATATATGCAAGATGTTGACTTATCTACTTCTGACTATGACAAACGGACAGCCTTGCATGTTGCAGCTTCCGAAGGAAATTTGCCCATGATTAAATTCTTGGTTAATGTTGCTAAAGTTAAAGTTGACACTATGGACAGGTTACTTACCCTATCAAGTGATTGATTATTGATTATTTCAGGTGGGGCAGAACACCCTTAGACGATGCTAACTTCTTCAAACATCCAGAGTGTGCGCGATTCATCGAGAAAGCATTGAGAAGGGTGAGCTGTTTCGTGTACTCTCAGAGTAACAAAATAATAATTTCTTGTAGCCTTTGGGTCGCACAGACTCTGTTTCATCAGTGGAAACAGATGATGATGATTCGGAAGACGGTCTTCCTAAAGCAATTTTTTCAATAGATCATCCTTACGGTTAAACGCGAAATAAGCATAATGACGTCAAACGCGAAAATTCATTTTGAATGAAACTACAGTCTAGAGCGGTTGCATTCTTTAAAGCTCGAAAACAGATTATTAAAGAGCCGTATTTCAAGTGAAAAAACTATGTAGAGTACAGTGTTAAACAAATAACAATTCCTCCGAATGGAAATATCCTTCTTCCATTAATCGGCACGTAAATCATCGAGATCAATGTCATCTGCTGCAGATTTGGTTTCGAGCATTTTGGTGACTTCGAAATCAGGTGGCAGCTGCGGTCTGGATGGCAGCCTCCTTCCTCTTTTTTTGCTGCTCGGACTTCCCAAAATACTAAAAAATAGGTAAAGTTTTCAAAAAACAATTGTTTGTCACCTAAGAGTATCATCTTCCGTCTTGCTTTCCTGCCCTTCTACAATCAAAAACAATGCAAAGCTAACATCATATCACAAACCTTCTAATAAGCTCATGTCACCAGTTTTCCTCCTATTGCGTTTACGAGGATTCTAAAACAAACGTTTGGTTCATGTAACGAAAAGTTCAAACATTAATATTCTGCTCAAGCATATCCAAAGTCTTATCTTTATCCTCCATGACAGTAGAAGTAGAAAGCGTGCTTTTACTGAAACGCAATGAGATTACTGTGTTCTGAACAAAGCGTTTTACGATCGCCGTTTTGGTGTTTTGGGTTTTGTTTCTGCAGGAATTTCCAGCTCCACTTCCTCCAACTCAACTCCTTGATTATTAACAAGATTCGAATAATTCTCTAGAATATCAAATGAAATCTGAAATGCAAAGTTCCCACACCAGCCATCTCTGGATCTGCATAACGGCGAGACCGAGAATGCTGAATCTTTGATGAATAGGCTTTCTCTTTGATCGAACTTCTCGCAACCGTTTTAACTTCAACTTCCACTGGCTGAACAAACGAATATGAAATCACAAAAATGTTCAGCGCAAACCGTTGAGCTTGTCATCATAGCATGTGTTTGAACCATTTCGTTCTTAAAACGAGTTTGGGCGTCGTCCAATAAGCTAGAAAAAGAAGAAAGTTTGGATGCCAGCAGAAGGAAAGAACCTTTTACAAATATCTAGTGGGTCCTTCGGAAGTTTCAATCCTACTTTCAAGTTATCTTTGCCTTGAGCATACTTCTTATGAATCAGCTCAATTTGCTGCAAAAATTCGTTTTTAAACTCTCTCCCCGTATTATTTGACAAACAGCTAAGAGCGGATCATCCACAAGAGATTTTGCCAAATTGAACTGGGGTTCGGGGTCATCATTAGCCAATTCATCGCTGACAGGAGCTTCATAACGCTTGTGAGTAACTGGATCAAACTGAACTGCGATATAACAAAAGGAGATTCAGAATGATACTCACGCATGTCTCGAATATGACAATTTTGAAAGCGGCATCATCAATCAGCTTGTAAAGACAAGCTAAGGTGTCATAATGCCTTTCAGGCAAAAGATAAAGTTGAATGAATTGGGTGACTGAATGCATTTGGGTAGGTGTAATTCTGATCTGTAAACACTTTTCCATGAAATAAAAACAAAGACAACGATACTTGTGCGATATAGTCTCTGGGTTGCGTATAATAGAAGGCATAGCAAGCGTAGACTCCGAATATCCTATTCTGAAAGCAGATCTTATGAGGAGGCCGCTCACTTCAGGACTCACAGTATAATCGTATTCGGGATCAGTGGGCTCCAAAGACTGATTGTAAGAAGTAGTTGCAGGCGTTTTATTAGGAGCCAAATAAGCTAATGCCATCTGCAGCAGCCTTTCTGTGAACTATAAAAACTTTCATTTTGTTCATTTGACTGTGAGAACTCACTTCAACAAGCTCAGCACAGTTCTGCCTACCATAGAATATCAGCTCCATTTCGAGCTCTCGAAATACTTTTGAAAACTCTCGAAACCTGTGATCCTCAGATTATTATATTCGAAGATTAATCTACATACCTGACAGAATCATCTTCCTTGAACTTCATGAGCAATTGATCCAGATCATATTTTATACCCGCTTGAATGGGAGCGATGGAAGTCCCTAATCCTTTCATGAGGCTGTAAAGAGAACTTGGGTGAATAAGAAGAGTCACTCCAAAGCTCAAAGTATGTTGTCAGCAACAAATGAATGAAGAATGAGTTAGACTATTATAAAACTTTATCTGAAAGGAAACAGTGGAAACCCTAACCAGTACTCTGAACAACAAAAATAATGGAAAGATGGAAAATTCAAAATGTGTATACTTAAGACTAGCATTATTAAAGCAAATGCAATAGAATTCTAACGATGAAAAGATATAAGTTCAAATAGGTGAATGACAAATAATTATCGGCACAATACCCAACCTGTAGATTTAAACAATCCGTTATTATGAATAAATTAGTTTTAGGAGAAATGGCCACATGAAGATCCGGAGATTCTATCACAAAATAAATTAAACCGCATATACACAGAGAGAAACATGTCATTTGAAGTTTGGATTAGTTATCCCACAATGTACATTTCGCATGAATTGGAGAATATCCTTCTTTGTTATAATACCCAGCACTTTGCCATTCTTCGTCACCAACACCTGAAAAACCAATGTCAGTTCTGAAACTACAATCATCTATCACCTGTCTCAAACCCAACTTTCTGAACATGTCAATGACTGTTTCCATTGGTGTCTGATCAGTTATTGTCATTGGGGCAAGGTCAATAATTTTACGAAGCTTGAGGGGAGCAGGAGCTCCTGCAACAACTTCTGGTACCTGAAATACTTCGTTGAGAAGATTATTAAGACAATAATTCAAACCTGGGCTGTGAAGTAAACCATTGAAGATGTAACAATGTATTGTTGCGTTTTCCTTGCTGTGTGCAAGGCTATTAGTAAGTCTCTCCTACAAAAAATAATTAAAGATGAAAATAAAACGGTTTTTTTTGAGAGGGAGAGTAATGAATACAACCGATCTGTGCGTCTGCATGTTTGAAATGAAATTACCTCGTGACATATCCTACGAGGTACATGCTGTTCATTGAAGTAACAACAGGGAAGCCGCTGAAACTCGATTCTTGTAACAACTTCTCCAAATCTCCAATAGAAAGTCCATCTTCAGTTAACACGTTCAACTTATCCAGTTCACCGGGTGGTGGACGCATCACCTGAAGTAGGATGTGGAGTGAGAAACACATGGTTTTGATTACCTGTATTGCCACCGTCGAATAAGGGTATTCTTCTTTATTATCCAAGAATGGATAACCATTGAGTTCAATATGAGCATCGTAAATACTCTATAAGAAGAAATGAAAAATGAAAATACGTTTAGAAACTTACAGATTTACAAATCGCATCACCCAACCATTTGGAGAACATAGTGGCTACCATAGTAGGTACAATAAGTTCTAAACTTCCTGTCAGTTCGAACATGATCACAACCAAGGATACTGTCATCCTGGAATATAAGCATCATGATGGCTATACCTAGTTATTCTTTTACCTGGTTATTCCGCTCAAAACTGCCGCTGCGCCCACCATAGCATAAAGGCCAGGCATAACACAGTCTTTGCCGATACGGCAACTCCAGAAACCAGAACTGATTCCTTCCTCCTATGACAAAAGTATATCATTTGTTCAGCATGATTTCTTTACCTGGAAACTTTGGAAAAGTCCTTCCATGAGCATTCCTACAATACGTCCAGCGATAGCACCCATAGCAATTGAAGGCACGAACAAACCACATGGAACCTAGATAACAGAATGATCAGAAATGAAAATAATTGAAACTTGCAAACCTTGATACCAAAAGTGAAAATAGTGAGAATGAATTTAAAAACAAGAGCTGCTAGTAGTTGAAGTAAAGCAGACTGGAAATGGACGAAACTATTTTTGAGAACACGAAGGAAAGGTAACTCACATGAACTCGTTCGCCGAAAACTCCAGTATGGTAATTATCATCAACTTTGTTAGAAGAGAAAGTTTGGTTATTATAATCACAGAGATTTAACATGTAGTCTTCAGGCCCGCATCTGTCGAACAACTGAAAACAGAAGAAGGATATCTTTCTGGACAATGAAAGCATACCAGTTTAATCGTTGAAGAAGCACTTCTTCGTAAGTAAGGATTGAAATAAGACACAGCGGCTGTTACGAAAGTAACAGCAACAACCTCGTAAATAGGGTTTCCACCAAGTAGTTTAGAATTCTTTCTGAACTTGCACCACCTGAAACTGGGATAAGACAGATCGACCATAACAAGCTTACTTGATGTTGAAGTAAATGAAAAGACACCCGAGAATAGCACCGAATGCTCCAAGAATTGCGAATGGGAACAATTCAACAAAAGTCCACCGCATTATATAGTCGACATGGAAAAGTGAAGTCTGAAGAATGAGAGTTAGTGGGCATATGATGTACGGCAAAAACCTGGTCACTTCCAAAAGGATTTACAATCCGTAAAATAATTCCTGCCACGAGTGCACAAAAGAAAGATCTCCACATAGTTTTCAGAGGGAAGTAGTATGAAGCTTCTTCCAAACTAGAAAAATGTCGTAACTGTTGAAATTTGAATAAGAAATGAACCTGAAGAGCACTCCTCCAATTGGAGCACCAAAAGCTACACTGACTCCAGCAGCAGCAGAAGCTGACAAAATTTCTCTTTTCTTCGCCTCGTTCAGACCATATTTGGGGAACAAATAAGAGAATATATTACCAATACAACAAGCAAGGTGAACCATGGGTCCTTCTTTACCCATTGAAAGCCCTAGAAATACAACATATGAAACATGAAAACTCGGGAAGTGCACTAACCTGATGCGGTACAAAGCATTAATCCCACAGATTTGATAATGAAAGTCCATTTACCCAAGTAGCCTCGGATAACGAAGCCTGAGAGAATGCATTTAATTTCTGGGATACCAGATCCACATGCATAAGGAGCGAATACCTATAGTGGAGAGTAAGGCTAGAGAAAAATAAAACTGAAACTCACTTTTACTAAGAGAACAGCTAGAGTTGCCATCGACACTGCCCATCCCACATAAAAAATGTATTCCACGAGAAAATAGAAAGAGTTTTCACTGTAATAACCTAGGGTCTTGGGCCAACTCTTCCAAGCATTACAATCATTATCCTAAAACAGATTTCAAAATAGGTAGATTGTAACAACTTCTTACTTTGTAAGCGGTATCGTTGGAGGACCAACAGCAATGTTCGCGATCAAGCCAAAACCTGTCAGCACAAATACCATCCTGAATGAAAAATGTCCTCAAAGTCTTAAGATAAAAGGAAATACTTTTAAGTCTGTCATCCATCGGGCACCAATATCAATGACTCCGGCACTTGCTCCTGCAGCCATACCAACCATAAGTACACAAATCCATCCAGCACCAGCATCCCAGGCACCTTGGATGAGTCCAAGAGGGAAGTCAGCTCTGAAGATAGCTTGATTATCAAAGGCACATAATGATAACACACCGCTTGTGGAGAATTTGTTTGTGGCGAAGACGATCCCTTGCTAGATCTCTTTGCCAATCAATCGTATGAAAGTCTCCGTATTTACTAAACGTTGATGTAGAGATGGTGTGAAGGGAATGAAAACAAACCTTGATATGGGTATAATACCTTCATGTGTCTCATCATCCAGATCATTAGCATGTCCGCCAGCATTGAAGGAAGCATAGCCGACTTCTGAATTATGTATAAGAGCAAGTATAATAAAGAGAAAGAGAGAAGAACCTTTGCAAGAAAAAACTTTCAAAGGGATATGCTCGTTGTGCATTCATATGAAGCAATATAACTTTTAAGAAAAACACTGATAAGAAAATTTTGATATGCACTACAAGCATTAAAGAAATGAAATCGTACCTGAGTCAGCATGCTCGTTGGATGAGAACGTGGAGCCCATGTCCACCTCTTCTAAAGAAATATCACGTGCTCGTCGATCCATCTGATAAACAATTGCATCAGACGCAGCGAACGAGAGGAAAATTTATAAATTTTGCTTACTCTGTAGCGACGATTATTGGCAAAACTGACCCCTCTAACCGGCGATGATATTAGAGAGACTGATTCAGGCTCCTCCTGTACGTAATTGGTTTATTTAAGCTGAGTACAACTATTGAATACCTCGTCAAGCAACCTTCGCATCCAAATCTAACTATAATAGCCGGCAAGTAAAATGGATGTTCAGAAGTAACAATCATATATTGTATTATGAAAATAACCTTCTAAACGATAAGCATTAATATGGAAATATCCGATGGGGTTCTACTTTCCGATGTTTATTTTCAAAATGCGAGAGACGCCATAGTGCATGGTGGTGCGTAAGAGGGTGGGGCGTGTATTGGGAAGTGTATGAATACGCTTCGAGTGTGTCCGTGATCGACCGAGAACAGAAGTTGGTCTTTAATGCTTTTTCGAGCTGATGAATTGAAATATTTAATTTTTAAATAAATAACTGTTTTACTCATGTTTCCGGTTGATTTTCAAGCTTTCTCCTGTATTTTACTAATTTGCTTGTTATAGAAATGGCCGCGGGTGCTATTCTTAAAACCACATATGCGGTGTTCGCCATCACCACCTTGGTTCTCATTGGAACAGGTAACAAGCGTAAGCTTCATTGTTTCTTATTCATGATGTGTAGGGTTGTTCTACATGCTTACTGGACAAGGACATAGATTTGATATCGCCTGGTTCCTTACTTCCACTTCACCTCATATGTGGGCTGGTTTGGGTATTGGATTTTCTTTATCCCTCTCAGTTCTCGGAGCTGGATGGTGAGCTGCATATTCAGTTTGTAAACATCATGCTTCTTATAGGGGTATTTTCACTACCGGCTCTTCTATCCTCGGAGGAGGAGTTAAAGCTCCACGAATTCGTACGAAAAATTTAGTTTCTATCATTTTCTGCGAAGCTGTCGCCATTTTCGGTATCATTATGGCTTTCGTTTTCGTCGGAAAACTTCAAGTAAGCTTTCGTTTCTAGCTCTCTGCTTATGCCACCTTTCGTTTTAGGATTTCTCAAGAGAACAACTCGATCTTAACGATCCCAACGCTCTCAATATCCTTTCAAGAAACCTTGCTGCTGGCTACATGATCTTTGGTGGAGGATTGACTGTTGGTTTCTCCAACTTGGTTTGTGGACTTGCTGTCGGTGAGTTCATTCTACTCTCATTCTGTTTCACACTCGAGAAATAATTGCAGGAATTGTCGGATCAGGTGCTGCTATTGCTGACGCTGCTAACCCAGCTCTTTTCGTCAAGATTCTCATCATCGAAATTTTCGCTTCTGCCATCGGACTTTTCGGAATGATCATCGGTATCGTGCAGGTAGGAGTTGAGATGAAGAAGCTTCTCTATAATTTGTTTTCTTACAGACTAACAAGGCAACTATGGGAAATAAGTAAATCTATTGTTCACAAGGTAAATCAAACATTCCAAATTGTTCGTTAAATGAAAAATCTGTCGTTCCCGACAGAACTTAGCACTTATTAATCTGGTTGTCATTTCCAACTGTACATTCGATCAGTACCCGTGATCACCATTTGCTTGTTCTTTTAGTATTAGCCCAATAATACTTTACTAAGCTAGGAAAGTTAAAATGTAGATTGTTTCACTGTGATTTTTGTAAGTTGACATATTTTTTGTATGTATTTATAAGAATAGAGTTATAAATCTATCCGCTTTTTAAATCACGAAATTAACTGTCCAACTACTCAATTATTTTATTTACTTGATAGTCAGTCTAATAAAAGAATCACAGACACAACGCTTTAGATGAGTGATGGGTGGTTATGGGTCGTCAACTCTTCGGGTCTTCCATATTGTATAGAACAAGTTGATAGACCAGGTTGGTCGACCATTTGCATAAGCTTCGTATCTCCCTATCTTTGAAGAGCTCAAGTCTGACATAGAATGGCGCTCTTGTCCTATTTCGCTTGATGAAAATGTTAAAGTTGTAAGTATCTCATGCACTGGTGACTCAGCTTTCGCAGTTGACTCCAATGGTTCCATTTATATTTATTTAAAACCTAATGTACTTGTTGTACGTAAACTTGTTGAGTATTATCAAAATCAGGTTAGTCTCAAGCGAATGATTTATCACTTGTACGACAGCGCTGGTATCCTTTCTTGGGCTACTCTCGCCCTTTACCGACGGACAGGTCTGAGTATTCCAGTGAGGATGGAGTAACTGTGATACCCTGTCGGTTACAAATTTAAGAAAGGTTCTATAACGGGTCATACTTCAGTATTACATTCTTTGCCTTCGGAAGCTTGGAGATGGGAGGAGAACTGGGCATACCATGTGTCGGATACTACGGATAAAGAAGTTGGAGAATTGAGAAAACTTGAAGCATTTGCAATTAATCATTTTGGGGCTGGGCCTACGCCGTAGGATTTGGAAAGCAAAGTAAATGGTACAACGAACAGAAAATTGCTACATTAGTGAGGCGACGCGTTCTCAAACGGTATATGAGATATATAGCTGCTGGACAGTGGTCAAAGGTGTTACTCAATGACAAGACAATGTAAACACGAATTGTTTAGATGCCTGATTATGGGATTTCCTTTTTGAGCGTTACAGTTGGATGCTCGAAAGTGTATAAGAACGGCGGGCATTTGTTATACGGGTTAAGTAATGACGGAGCCATTTTCTGTAGAGTCGGTATTAACTCGGAAGACCCGGAAGGGAATGACTGGGTGACGATGGAAGGGATACAAAACTCAGGTTGAGTGAGCTTGATTAGATTTGGCTTACCTTTTGTTAAAGAATCCACGGAAGATTTAGTTTTCGTCACCTGTTGCTCCTACTATCCTACGCTCATTGCTGGCACTTGGGACGGGAAGTTGTTCTGGAGATGGGGAATAGACTCAGGTTCCTTAAAGGCATCTATTATTATAAATTCATATACTAAAGTGACTCCTACCGGCATAATATGGCACAATATTCCAACTCCGAACTTGTCTGCAGTGATCGAAGCGACATTGGGGATGAACACTCTGTGGGTTACAACTGTTGAAGGAGAAGTGAGATGTTTGATTTTAAACCATCTTAACTGACATTCCCTAGATCTGGATGCACAAGCTAGAATTAACGAAGTGTCAGGAAATGCATAACTGGAAAGCTATTACCTCTGCCACGTATAAAAAAGTTACGGATGGTTCTTCTGGACGTAAACGTTGTTTAACCACTTCTCGATCTGACGTGGTACGTGAATTCACGGTCACGTAAATGCGTGGACTTTACGTGAACATTCTCATTCTTATCAATTGTTCTGGTGCATGCGGTTGTATCCAAGCATGTTTGTCTACCACAACAATTTATTTTTTTATAGTTGTTTTGCATTGGCGGAGACAATAAGCTGGAGTTACGTGAGGGTATATCAACCGAAGAATCATGTGGTCGACGCTTCGTACCTCTAGTTGATAGAACTGAGGAGGGACTATCCTGGAATGCAGTATGTTTATTCAAAGAATAGCAAACTGTAGTTATGAAATTTAGATTTGTGCAACTAGTTGTTCCGCAGTTCCCAACTACTGGACTAACAAATCGTTTCAACTTAGGACAGATTCGAACTTCAGACATGCTATATGGCGAAAAGAAGTAAGTAGACTAATAACTGGAGTATAAGCATTTGCCTCCCAATACCATCATCTCTCTTACATAATGCATATTTTGAAGATACTCCATCGTCTCGAAAGAAAAAACGAAAAACTATTTCACGTGTTCCGTGAGCGAAATGGACATACCGACGGGCATGAAGTAGAAGACACTGATTGGGAATTGATGGACCATGGATGGTTGAAATCATCAAAAGTGCAAATAGGACTACCATCCGAGAGAATGTTCAAGGTAGGGAACGCCTGTCAAACTCAGCCTGAAACATGAACTGTACAGAATGGTGTGATACGGGTCTCTAAGGATAACATAGAAATAGCAACTGCGAAAACAATAATCTGCAAGAGTAGAGCTGAGGTACATAGCTATAGAAAGTGTTCTTTTTAACATTCTCATTTAGCTCCAATTAGCTGAAGAATACACGGACATCAAAACTATTTGCTGTCTAGGACTCCTCTTTGTAGACTCAGGTTATTACAAAGTTGGATTCGCAAATGAGAATGAGAGAAGAGATTGGTTATCTCTCTTACAAGATGTGAGGTTCCACATAATAACAAATCATATATCACTTTCCAGGTTGTTATTAACTGTTTGATTGAATCGCCAAGAGACAAAAAGTTTCAAGCAGCTTGGTCTATATCGCAGAATGGTCATGTAAGATGCCATCCTATGAATGAATTGATCGTTGACAAGAACGGAATTGTAAGAAATTATCTTTTCTTTTCGAAGACCTACTACTTCTTCAGGCAAAAGCAAAGGGCTTGAGTAAAATAAGAGGCGTACTTCTACCCGGTAGCTTCCGGCACATTTCTGCAGGCGCTCGAAGGATAGTGTGGGCTATTAATGAGGTACAGTGGCTGTTGAACAAGAAAATCATTTAGTCTAATAGGATGGAGTTCCTTATGTCTTGGATCAAACCTGGTCACCTTTTCAATCTGTCGAGTTTTCACATCCAATAAACGACAGCAAGACCATTGAGGTTGTTCCTCGTGTTTTCACTCTCCAAACAGCAATTTCAGATAAGAGAATATCAGAAGAATGAAATTTTCAGAGGTTTCATTCCCCTGGTCGGTATTCATAGGGGCATGGCTGCGTGGATGGAGAACGACTCAGTCATAAATGGAAAAAGCTATCGGTTACCCTCTGATAACTGGTCCTGGGTAGAGGAATCATGGGTCAATAAGACAACAAGTGATTGTGATGAGGAGGGTTGGATGTACGCGACGAAGCTACCCGGTTCATTCGGAAAGAAACCCGTGGTTTCATTATCTATGCTACTGACCTTCTAATGTTCTCGACTTATAGCGGACGAGACCACTGTATCGAGTCAGAAATTGGCAGAGAAAAGCAAAGTACTCAAGTCAAGGACCCTGGAGAAAAGTGCAAGGCGTACATTTAGTAGAAGTTCATGTTCAAAAAAATGACGATGAAAGAGTGAGGTTCCTAGCGCATAAGCTCATCATAGATCCTATTACAGATTCTCGTATGGGGAGTAACTACTGATGGCAATGTCGTTATCCGTCAGGGAGTAGATGGCAGCACGCCGGAGGGATGTATATGGAAGCATGTAAGCTTGGTTGCCCATTTCTTTTGCTAAATCATGCTTCCAGATCTTGTGTGATTACAAAATCAGAACACTAGCAGTCGAGTCTGGCAACACTGTTTTCGCGATTACGAGAGAAAACAAATTGCTGAAAAGATATTGCAGTAGTCAAACAGATATGGAATGCACAGGTATGATGAACCTGATTCATAATAAAGAGTTGATTAGATTGGCAAACAATGGATGCCAAGAATCTTCCCGTAGTAATAGAAATGGTCGCTATGCCCGAAAATCTATGGTTTATTTCAGAAGATAGAAAACTGTGTCTATATTATATTAAAGAAGGTTATTATGTTAAAGAAGTACATATCAATATAATGAGTTAAGGTGTCTACTTAACTACAATTGATCTAGATCAAAGATCTCATATCTCGCGTGACTTAATAGGATCATTATATATATCTTCGGAATGGAACACAAAAAGGCTGAAACATCTGGAAATCAATAAAAACCTTAATCCTCAGTACAGATATGAATTCGAAAGCCTAGTCAGTGCATATACCTTTGATATAAGTATTTGTTAAATGTTGTTTAAATAAATATTGGATGTAGAGGAATAGCATGCGCTAGGTAGTTTCTACCTGAGATCGGACGAATCGTTTTGGAAAACGTGAAAGTGTTAATTAACAACATTACAAGTCATGTTCTAAACAACTATAATACACTCGATAGCTAAACTACCTATGGAAGAGTCTTCTGAGGAACCCGTTATCCTTATTTGCTTTGAAGACGTGATCATTGGGAAAACGTTTCCTATAGACATCTGGGTGCATTTTCTTGAACTAAACTCGGAAATGTGTGATGAATGATCAGAGACCAAGAAAAACAAACCTGTTTCAATTTCTTTTCCCGATCACCATCCTTCAAATGCGGATCAACCATGATTTGCTCCAGCAAGGGCATGAGATAATCATCCTGAGCAGTTTGCTGTTCTACATAGTTGTCATGCTACATAGAATAATTAACAATATCTTTGAACTATCCAAATCACCTGTATCTTCTCACAGAATTGTATAACATTTGTAGTTGGGGTGGGAATTTCGTTCAACCCCGGTTCAGCAGTCGACAACTAGAAAACGTAAAGTGGACACTCGACGAGTATTATCATAACTCACGTTTCGTCTCTGCTTTTCACGGACTTGCTCAGTTACAAGATTTCTGAGTTTATCATCTACGGCAAACACTTCTCTTTCAAAATCCATGAGTAAGGATACTAGATCCATTGCTTGATAAGGAGATAAGTGCTCATCGCACGATACTATACAGTTGGTGAGTGATTCCAGCAGCTATGAAAGAAATGAAAAAGAATCAAGTATATCTGATTTACCACTGCTCGGTTCGTTGAGTTAGGCTCCAACTGGAGACAATGATTCGAAGAAATCTTATTCATGAATTTGATAAGATGATGAAGCTTCCTGCGTGTGGAAGTTCTAATTGATAACAGAACGAGCGAAACGCATGTCAGGAGAGAATTCAAAGTTGCACGTGGTAGATCTCAAGTAAAGAAATCATTTAAGATCTACAGATCTCGACTCACTGTAGATTTTGGGGCTGAAAGCCACTGGAGCTGTTCTATACGAGCAGGATGTATTTCTACCTGAAACTGAACAATATTCATGGATGAAACATGTGATACAGTATTACCGCCAGATGATAATGGAGTACACATTTGAGCTATTTTTGAAACGACATCCGGACTCGTTCGGAGCCCGGGCAAACCTAATACGTCGTTCATATCAACACTTTCCTCAACTGAAAGATTTCCACATAACTTGTTGAGTAACATGGAACTCACGTAATCGGTCACTTCTCCTCCTCAATCTGCCTTTCTCGGGTATTCTAGGCAATGTTTCGTATATACTAAACCGAAAGTTATCAGTTATTAGAAATGATATACCTCTCTTCTTTTCCTGCTGAAAAGGTGAATCGTACATCCTCTGATATTCCATTAGTACGGATGGCAGGTGGGAGACGATGAATTGGGGTGTCAGATATATCGGAACAAGGAGAAATCATAGATGAATTAGACTACAAAGGATGATAAGATGAATGCCAAGAAAGAATAGCATACCACGAATCTAGGCATCTTCCTATCAACCAGTCTAGTGTAAGGCTGGCTCTCTCCAAAAACTGTCTCCATCTCTTTATTATGAGGCACTAGAAAGAATTGAAGTAGTAAATAACTTCTTGTTGTACCACTTACAGATTGGTGATTGATTCTTCTGATCCTCGTTGAAAATCGAAAATATATGTAGGATTGCGGAACACTCATCTTTACTCAGAATAGGTGGTTCACGAGATAAGTTGGAGCAAATTGTTTTGAAAACATTAACCTGAAAATAATTGTTGTTTGACCTTCTCTCAGGCTTCTCAGTATCAAAACCTCTTGAAATTCCTTGTAGGTTATCACATTGCAGGAGCCAGTTGGGAAGGGAAACTGTTCTAAATACTTCATGAGGCGGACCAAGTACGAAGAGAATTCTTCTGAAAAGAAATGTTATCTTAGTCAAGAACTTCATTGAACCTTTGTCCGATTTCGACTTGACTACACCGCTACTTCCAATCTTTTCGACATTCCACTTTATATCATAACCCATTACATGCCAATTCAGAAAAGAAAGATCTTCCACACCTAACTCCTCTTTCAGTCTATTGAGTTGAAATTGAATAACACAATGTGGAATTCAACAATACCTCGCCAACAGATGAGTCTTCCACATGTTCATGATATCTAGATCCGAAAGTTTCACAGACCCTCTGCGCTGAAGAGATTTTGTGTTGAGATCTAATTGTCATTCACTCACATTCAAAGCAGCTACACTGTCCTTCTCAGATCCTATTGATGGTTTGTATTTGAGAGATGTGGTATATTGAAGCTCGCGATTGATTTCTCCTAAAGCTTTTCTGACCTATACAAAAATATTATCTTTGTTGCAAAGCTCATAATACCTCAGGGTCTCTTTTCTTTTGTTTACCGAATGACAACCATACATACTCTTGGTTCTCCTTCTCTTCAGTAGGTTCTGGTGGGAATATATTGGCTGAATTTGTATATGAATAGAGAAGAAAGCCATACAAAACCTTTTTCATCAATGATGTTATCAAAGGTAGAACATGCTGGCTTGATATCAGGTAACCTCCTCTCTCTTGGACTTACAAGCATGTTAGCTCCCTAAAATTTACAAAAATATAAGGAGAGCATTATATAAAGTGATCACCTCGCCTGACGGGCATGTGGAAACAAGAGTAGCTAGATTGCCATGAGACATGGAGGTTCTACGGTCCCATTTCGATGCCGATTTCATGGGAGAGCCTTTATAACGTAAAAACTCTGGTGTAGCACATCTTTTCAAGCCTCTATAAATAATTCGCATTAGAATAAGAAAAGCTGATTGATTAATCACCCTAAGTTACTTATATTTTCTTCAGACCCTCCGTTCATTCCCGTATTTTCGAATTCAGCAATGAGCTTGGGTGTTTTAGCAGTTGGTTGAACAGCATGACTAAGTAGGAAGTTCAATATAATAAAAAAAACAAATTTTCTTACACATATAGCGTGTTACCGTCTCTGAACTCTATCTTTTCAGATGGAGGGAACCGCTGAATAACTTTCTTCTCCAAAAATTTGGTTAAAAGTGCAACACAATTCTCTCTGTAACAGTCGATGTGAAACATTAGGGACTATGTAAGCTCACCTAGATACTTGTCTTCCATTGAGAAAACGTGAGGGAATCTCTTCCATCAGGAAGTCAACAGCCTCTTTACCCGTGAAAGAATTTTCAACTTGAGAGAACTGCCTACGATGCTTCTTCCTGGGTCCCTCGTCAATGAAAGAAGTAATGATATCATTCCACTGCAAGAAGTTTTAATGTAACTATCAAGTTTTGAGCTTTACCATTGCTGTAGCTTTAAATGTATTTCTGAATACAGGATTATTTCGCCTCCCTGTTGGAGTATCATCCACAGATCCTGATCGGAGTTGACGTAATGGCCTCCATGGCGAAAAAACTGTATCCACCATGGATCTTAAAACAAAAAATAAGTAAATATCAAGAAAAAGAAGTTCAGAAATGCAATGTTCAGTGCTTCCAAGCTGTAAGGCTCTAGTTAATTAGAGTTTTGCATATAGATTTGAAAATTTAATACTCGCGGCGTGCTGTTCTAAAATTATTATAAATTCTGTGCGGGACCAATTGGGAACGATGATTAGACCTTCATTATTTCCTCTGTCAGCAACGACTTGTAAAGACGAAGTTATCATAATATCAATGCATTCCTTTCTAAACGATACTAATGAATCTTAAAATTTCATTATTTAATAGATTGAAGCCAAATGTTCAACTGTCTTCTCTTGTTTCAGACTCAACCATGGTTCTCATAACATTCAAAACAATCACTCAGATTTCTTTCACCTTGGAACTTGAACCAAGTTTGACAGTGAGTTTTAAGAACTTTTTGTTTTTTTTTCTAATTTTGAATTTAGATTGCCGAAGTCAAGCAGAAAATTGCCGAGGAAAGAGGTGATGACTATGCAGTCGAGCTTCAGAAGTTGATCTACAACGGAAAAGTATTGGAAAAATCAAGTCTCCCTTGTATAATCCATTCTTTCAGATTTTGACCGATGAGAGCAACATTCAAGATACTGGAATTGAATCATCCAAGTTTGTCGTAGTTATGTTGCAAAGAGTAATTTGAACATTCGTATTAAACACTAACTGTGTTTGATTCAGAAACCTGCTCCCCGAAAGGTAGACCCTGCTCCAGCCACTAACTCAGCTACCACTGCTACCACTACTACTACTTCCACAGCCTCTTCTGGAAAATTGGAAACTACTCCGGCTCCAGAACAATTATCTAATAATTCCACTCCAGCTCCCGCGAGCACTACTTCAAACTCAACTCCTGCACCTGCTGCTGATGAAGGTGAGGATTCTCAGCATATGTTTTATGATTTGTTTTGACAGAAGTTATAACTCCCGAGCAAGAGGAGATGATCAAGAACATTGTTTCAATGGGATACCCAAGGGATCAGGTGTTCACTTCACTCTAGATTTGTATAATCAGTAAAATTTGAGACTATCGCCATGCTTAGAGCCTCACTTTGGAATCCTGATCGTGCAGTCGATCTTCTTTTGACCGGTGATCCTGAAGGTGAAGCTATGGGATTTGTAGAGGAAGATAGCCATGCCATTGCCAGTATGTTATTGCTTTAAATTCAATGTCTAGCTATACCATCTTAGGCAATTTGGATGTTCTTGGACAACTTCCTCAGATCGAAGAGTTACGCCACGCTGTCCGCGAGAACCCCAGTATTCTTCCATCTTTGATGAGAGTAAGTTTGAAACTTTCTCAATCTGTTCATTCTGTTTCTTCAGCAAATCGCACAGATCAATCCTGATCTCATGAACGCTATTTCTCAAGATCAAGAAGGATTTTTGAGATTGTTAGGTGGAGCTGGTGCTGGTGCTGGTGCCCAAGCTGCTGAAAGAGTAAGAGAGCTCTTGATCTGTGGGCGTAGATTCACCTCACGAGTTTCAGGCCGCTCCTCAGAACACAATTAGATTGACAGAAGAAGAGCATGCTGCTGTCATGAGAATTAAAGATATGGGATTCAATGTACCAGAACATTTGATTCTCGAGGTATTTGTTTGTTTGTTTTTCATTTACACAAGTACTTCAAGGCTTATTTGGCTTGTGACAAAGATGAACAATTGGCTGTTGACTATATACTTCAAAGAATGGACGTGAGTTTAATTTCATCCCACATGTTCTCTATACCCTTATATTGCAGGAAGGCGAACTTTAATCCATTACCCTGAAGTTCACATAATATTTTGTGTTGTATTCGCTCTGTGGCGTCACTTTTTGATTTCCGCCGTTTGTGTTCTCCCAGTTATAGATCGGGTTGATCTTGTTGGTTTTAGTGACATTGTTTTACTATATATATATAATATTATTTCTTTAAATATGTTTTTTTTCCCAAATGGTAATGAATTGTCTGATTGTGCGACGTCTTTTGAATCTTAGTGAACCTCGGTAATGAACGTTGAGTATCTGATATGAGATGTACGAACAAATATGTTTGTTTGCTCAGCATGGACAAGGAAGAACTCAAGAGAGTGCAGGATGAGCGACAGGAATATGTTAAAAACCTGGGAATAGAATATCGGTTCGGATGCTATGAGGCATGCACATTCCTCTATCTAATGATGATTTATCTTTTTAGGAAAAGCGTCCCGAGTCCTGTCATTTGTTAGCTGAGTATTTCGAGGCCATCAACTTGAACTTTAAGGTTGTTCACCTAGTTCATCATGTTCACTCTTATCTTAATGATTCAGAAAGCTTTTGATCTTCTGAAGTCTAATTGTTTGGAGAGTGAATATCCTAAAAGCTGTTATAAATATGGAATGTATGTATTGAGTGGAAAAGGTTATCATCTCAGTTGTAACCTTTCACAATGGATGGTTTCAGAATGTACTCCGAATTTGAAGGACATGATCAAACCCATGGAAATCGCTTGTGATGGTGGTGTACGTCAAGGATGCAGGTATAGATCTTCCATGATATGAAAGATGGCATCGTTTTCTTTAGGTATCTCTCTCTTGTACATTGGAACGGAGAGAAAGACAGGCCGGCCGATTCTAAAAAAGCTGAAAAATACATGCAAAAGTCCGTTGTTGGTAGTTGCCTTGCTTTACAACATGTCTTGTAGGGCTTGTGAAATGGACGACGGAGAGGCATGTTGGTTGTTAAGCACTTGGTACATGGGTAATAAAGAAAAATTTGTAACAAGTTCAAAGGGGGACGCAAAAGTTTGTTCGCTAACCAGTTCCTTCCGAAAGTTTTCAAGTTTTTATAGGAGTTGGACCGCACAAGCCTAGGCTCGTTGGAGAGAAGTATGGAGAAATCGCTGCTATACGGTATCAAGGCTTGCGAGAATGATATTCCCCACAGTTGCGCCAACGTGGCAAGGTTGACTTTAGAAAACTAGTTCCTAATACTGTGTATGTTCGAGGATGTACAAGCTTGGTGATGGCATAGAGAAGGATCCAGATATGGCAAAGAAGTATATAGATAAAGCTAAAGAAGTTATGGAAGCGATGAAGAATAAAGAGAACTCAGCAGGATTCACTGGTTAAGCAGAGAGTTGTTCATTCCTTATCAGATGGTCAGAGAGATTTCATGTAGATTTTAGGGGCAATTCATCATACTTAGAAGAAAAAAGTAAAACTTTTTAATTGTTTCAAGTATTTTTTATTCAATCAATACATTCACACAAGAAGTGCTCATAAAAATATATTTAAAAGAGAAAATGTTTTATTATTAATCTCGCATTGGTCATGAGATCACTGAGATGGAGATCATACAAATGATGTTCATTAGTGGCAAAACAATACTATTTGGAGGTCCTCTAATAGGTTAGAACACTTGAAGATATACATATATGGTTAATCCAATTATGCAATTGAATTAAAATAAGAAATCGAATACTGGAAATAGAGCTCTGTTGATTTTGAAGTCAGCTTGAACTGTCATTTGACCGTCGGTAAACCGAGTCTTGCCATGTTGTTTCATGTGAATGTTGTGGTTCGTGAAAATGGGTAAATTGCCGCCCATGTACGTTGACAACAGAGACTGAAATGAAAACGGTAATATCAGGATGATGAGTGGGGACAGCTGAGTGAGGAAAAAATTTACCTCAATGGCATCGATGTGCTCTGCTGTGAACTCTTCTAGTATTGTTTGGATGTTCGAGACACGGAATTCTTTCTGTCGGATCTTTCCGAAGCTGATATCCTCAATGGTATAATCTGCTTTCCATTGATACTTTCCCTCTGGTAGAGCTGTCAATTCTAGATTTCGAACTCGCAGATTGAGAGGTGTGTGGAAGGACAAGTAAACTTGTCGGCTTTCTGTATCAGCCTGCTCATACGTTAACTCGAAGTGCAAATCCAATTTCAAGTGAGCCTTATCTTCACTGAATGTGATTTTTGGACTTTGAATGCAACGAGCGTCTAATCGTCCTGAAATGATTTCAATGAAGTATTCAAATAGTAAATTGAATTCATTTGTTTTGATGAAATCGAAAATTTATAAACACTCTTAATAAGCTGAATTCATTTTCAAATTGATATTACTGAAAAACAACCGCTCCCGACGTCTGCAACTCAAGAATGATGACGCGCTCAGCCCGCCACGTGAAATGTTTTGAAATTCTCGCGCGTATTTCAAAAATGCTATCACAATCATAAGAGACGTCAGAAATTTGACGAATTCGGTAAATGAAACAACGTTTATTCTTGTTTTTACTCACCTGTTCCTTCTATAGCTTTTGGCAACTCCAACACATTTCCGATACAAACTTCTTTCTCTTGACAATGAGTTTGGAGCATTTTTTTGATCTACAAACATGATAAACGTATCTGAGCACTGTTTCACCGTATGATTGTACCTGCTCAATGTGATGGAAGTTGAAAACTGTATCTCCTTTCTTGTTCAATTCATCAAAATAATTATTTATAAAGTTTTCAGACACAGCAATCGTTGTCATAGTTGAAGGCTGGAGTATATGTGTATGATACTAAGTATTCGGAAATTTCTTTTTTACCTTATTTGGCAAGCGGACAACATCATTTGAATCGCCCTCTTGAATTTCATGCGAAATGATGACACTTTGATCATTGGCTTCTGTATGAGAAAATTTATAGTGAGTGGAATCGGTACTCTGTAAGAGAATTATAGAAGAAGCTGCTTTCAATACAAATAAGATTACGGTAGGTAGCGGACGTGGTAAAATTAATGATGTTTGAGCCGTTTTGAAGATTCGATTAGCGAAACTTGTAACAGCTGGACATATCCGTCTGGCAACTCTTTCAATGATCTCATCCCTACAAGATCACATATAAGCATTGACAGTGTGCATATCAATTACCTGATTGTATCAGCTATTTGTGCTGGAAGTATAGGTCTTAATGTAATATCAACAGATCCAATGCTATGCGAGCAATCTCTGTCGATAGCCTTAAACGAATAATATTTTTGAATATCATGATAGATGCTCACCATCATCTTTCCCTCCTCATTTCTGTTGATGTCTAGATTAATGTGCAAATCTTCAATGATTGCCTCCAATTGTCCTTCACGAATTGTTCTGTATTTTCCGTAGTAGAGGCCGAGAAGCTTTGCTTGTCCACCTTCCGTACGTATTTTGATTTGGTCCTTCGTTGACTAAATGTACGGTATACTATAGAAAGTACGGTATATTCGAACCCGCATATGAATGGTAGGCGGTAGGAAATGGACAATCTGAATCGCATCAACACGAACATCGAATTCGAGATAAGAAGTTTGGAAAGAGATGGTCGATTGACGAAGAGCATCATGACGAATAGAGGCCATCATTTGCTGAAATTCATCAAGATAATTAAAAGCAACCATGAACAAACACCTACATGCCAGAAGTAATTGATGGCATGGGGAGAGATCTCAAATGCTAGATCACTCTGAATTTTCTTATCCGTATCCTCTACAAGATCATCCTCTTCATACTCTGTTTCAAATTCTGATTGGAAGTTTTGCAATTCATTCCAAAGCTTCTTGATTCGTGGATGTGTCGTAGGATTATCAATTGAATTATCATTTGATAGAATATTGAAGGATGTCACAACAACAAGTAAACTTGTCAAAACGTATGTAAGTACTCGCATAATCTGAAAGAAGAGCTTAATGAATTCAAATGCAAATTGGAGAATCGAATCATTTGTATGAGGTAAGACAGTTGTTACTACAAGTGAATAATCATTCCAACAAAATTCCAAAGAAAGATAACAAAATAAATCTGTGGCCGCAGTTGTTTTTTGAAAAATGTTTCAATCGGCAGCTCTTTTCGCTCTCTCTCTCTCTTTCTCTCTCGCTCTTTCCGTCTGCATCTCTGGTTCTTTCTGTCTCTCATCTCCTCACCATAATCTCTATCTCTAAAATCTTTTTTTTTGTGCAGGAGTTTCAAATAAGAGAGGAGCAAATAGAAATTTGGCAAAAGCCAACAACAGTCACTTGACGACGATCATTTAAGCTATATGTTGGACAGGGTGACTTTATAAGGAACACAGACATGCACACATACGAAATTCAGGTGTTCAGGAAGAGTATGAACGCAGGAAAAGGACTTTCATCATAAGCCGCATAAGCTTAATGCTTAAAGTTGATAAGATGGGGAAGAAGAGAATGTAAGGAATGTGTGCCATTGATGAACAAATATTTTGGAGCTGTTGAGAGAAAAAAAGGAATGACACCATGTACCGAAGAAGTCAGTGATGAATAAGACTTTATAGAAAAAAAAGTAAGAAAGAAAGTTATATTAATAGATAGATAAGGAAGACGCAAACGATAAAAATAAACCCCGGAAATGTTGAAGACGACCAAAAGCTCAGATACTACTGTAATTGAAGAGATAATTATTTAAAAATCCACTCGTGTACCCTCCTCCCCATGTTTTTCCCATGCACGAATAAAAAAGAAAAAATCTCCAATTTCGCTTGTAATGCTTTCATTTCCTACTTCATCCCTCTCTCTCTCTCTATAGAAGTATGGAAAGAGAGAGAGGGAAAAAGAGAAAGAGGGAGAGAAGAAGAGAGAGAGAAGAGATAAAGGTTTGTGTCAATTGCATTAGTCAATTGAGATTATCATGAAAGCAAATCCTCCTAAGAATCTCACAATCAAAATGTACTTCCTTTTTATATTTTTTGTGTATGTTAAGAGAGAATGAGAGAGAGAGAGACTGAGAGAGAGAGAGGATGCTAGAGAGAGAGAGAGAGAGAATGATAGAGAAAGAGGTTTAATCAACCTGTACTTTCAATTTGTTCCATTAGAAGGAGATGAAAGAAAACAAAATCTTCAAAGTATTTCATATAATTGATGAGAACTACATAATATTTCTGGAGTTTGTGTGTCTGTTATCTTTTTGAAATTATCACGCGCAGACTAAATATCAAAATTTACAACAAACATACATACAGAGTGAAAGAGAGAGAGGGAGAGGTACGAGTAGAAGAAGAAAGAAAGAATATGTAAGATGGAGGAGAAGGAGGAACAACCGTACTGCAAATCGTCTGAAACGGAAATGAGAGACTGACGTCGCAACTTTAAAGTTCACGTCAAAAACACGTAAAATTCAAAATATGCAATGAGAACGAAAGACCAAGTGAATATGTGTGTTGCAAGAGTGGAGATCAACAGGAAAAGCAAAAAAAAAAACGAAATGGGGCAGAGCAAGAAGATTCACAAATTCGTAGGTAAGAGTTTACATTAGATGTCACATGTGGAGAAAGTTTCGGAAGAAGGACGTCAGCAGCTTTTTAAGATCACGCGCAGTTTTTTGAAATTAAAAAGATTATGACCTCTGTTTGAGAAGTAATTGACGATGATAGCTTAAAAGATGAAGGAAGAAGAAGAAGAAGAAGAAGAAGAAAAAGCAGATGCAAAAGCTGGTTTATAAAGGTTCGCCATGTGGAAGAGCTACAACATACACACACACACAGACACGCGATACGGTAAATGGTTGACATTCTGAAGCATCTCGACGTCGACAGCATTTCCGTAGCAATGATGGATTATGTCACGGAGGTTAAATGAAATGTTCATTTTTATCACAAAAGTTATCAGTATCGCCATTATCAGTCACTCTCTTAAGCAATTAAGAACATATTTCAGAGTATTTTGGACAAAGTAATTCATCAAATATGAATTAAATGAAGAGACTTCAAAAATCGCCAAAAGAGAATTGAAAAAGCATCTGATGAACAAGAAAGATCTTGATGTAACCATCATAAGTATAGTCATGTGAAGAGAGAAAGAGAGAGAGAGAAAGATAGTATATGTATGAGAAAGATGAAATTGGAGAAAGGATGCAACTTAAAATGAATTTGAAAAAACGACTAATGCCCTGAGGCGCCGTCTTCAACAGCATCCTTAATGGATGGGCCAAATGTGGGAACGGCGAATGTGTCTGTTCCTTTCATTATGGCAGAAATGTGAAAAAAAATGGAAAAACGAGAAAATGATTGTAAAATTAGCTTTGGGTTACATCCGTTAGAGGCTGGCTGACTGTGGTTTGTAACCGGTAGCGAAGAACAACAAATGCTTGTTTAAAGTGTAAAAATCGGTTACGATCGGCAAAGCCGGAAGCTGCTGCTTTTCCTAATATGGATGGTGAACAAACCTATTGGCTTAATCAAAAGGACGGAGCTATAAAAATGAAATTTTGTCGCCATTTTTTGAGTAAAAGAATAACAAAGAAATAGAGCTTGAGAACTAGTTAGAATAGTTCAATCAGAAAGACCAACTATGGGTGGGGTTGGTTGACAAAGAAATAGAGAGAGAAGAGTTCTAAGAGAGTCCAAGAGTTGAGAAAGATGTATTAACAGGTTGAATAAAGCTGGAAATACCAGTAAGAGAGCAAAACGAGAAAGAAACAGAAAAGGAGACGAAGAAGAAGAAGAAGAAGAAGAAGAAGAAGAAGACGATGGACGGTTGGACGGACGGACGGACAAAAATGAAATTTTGGTGTCGGCAATTTGTAGTTTAATCAAGCAAACAAACCCATTCTCCCTTGTTCGTCCCAACCATCAGTAGTGATGGTGTACTTCTTGAGAAAAATCGTTTGGAGAAGGATAAGATCTATTTTGAGAAACTGATTTGTCGGAAAACGACGACGCACCACAGACAAACCAAATACTTCCGGTGAAAAATAAAAAATGGAAGAAAAAAATGATTTTTGAGTGTTCGTTACCATGGAAGGATGACGACATGGATTTACAGGATCAAAGGTCGATCAAGGTGATTTACAATTACTAGCTTATAAGCAAGCTTAAAACTTGATAGAATCTTCTTGTAAATGATATATTGCAGATATAGGGAGCTTGCAAAACATACAGAAGATGGATGAACATGACATCGATATGTTACAATTCAATAAATCACATGAAGATGATGAAGGTGTTGGAATAATAAGATCTTTAAAGCGAATTACCAAAATAAACGATCAAATAGTTGGATGGTAAAGAGAGAAGGGGGCATTGAGTTGAGACAGTAGCATGGAGCGAGCGATGCGATAGATAGACGTGTTTGGATGATATGGTGATGGAATGGATGATGACAATCATAAATTGGATGTTTGCCAAATGTTATATTTAAAACAAAAACGCCTTATTACACGAATATTAATTATGATTTTGAATAAAATATGTTGTGGAAACAATGAAACGGCCTAATACGTACGTCAAAGAGCTGAGAGGATAGTGAGAGGAGGGAGACAGGACAGGGGCGCGGTGTGTGAGAAGGGCAGGTGTGACACACAAAAAGCTTTTGTTTTAGATTCGACAGGGCAAAGTTAAAACTTGAAGGTTTAAAGTAGAAGATGGTTGAAGCTTGATCAACAGAAACAAAGAAACAACACACCTGACTGTCATCTGATGACTGAATTTGAGATTTTAACATTACACGCCTTTCCTTTTTCTTTTTTTTAATGCCTTCCTTCATTCCTCCTATCATACGTTCTGCTCGCTCTCAACTCTACCAAATGACTCATAAATCTCCATCGATTTACATGATACCCACTTGTACCCACTAATTAGAGATTGAGTTGCAGAAATTTCAGAAAATCATTTTTCTCAATTTCTATTCGTTGAGCTATCAACGAACTATCAAAGTCTACAAATTCATTGAAATGGGAGCGGAACAGCACGAACTGTCCTGATGAACTGCAATTGGCATTTTGAAGCCCCGCTAGAGATTTTTATTAGTCGCTGATAATCATGAAGGGAAGAAGAAGAAAAGAGATCCGGAGATGGAAGTTGAGAGATATAGAGTAAGCGTTAGAGAGAGAAAGAGGTGGTTGTGAAGAAAAAAAAAGAAACGTGGGAGGAATAAGGAAAAGCAACCACTCTGTACGACGTCAACACGGAAAATGATGCAGAAAGCGGACGAGGTTGCACGTGTCTCAAGCATATGCTAATTTTATACGTCAAACGAATAAGTAATGCGTCAATTCATAATCATTTCATATCAATTTGCAAGATGAGACGAGAGATGTGAAAATCATATACCAAACAAGGTAAAAAAGATATTCAGAAGGTCAGATTATGAAATTTTTGGAAACAAAAATCTATTTTAAGCTGTTGTAGTTGAATTTAAGAATCCGGTTAGATAGGTTCGTCGCTTGATGATAGGTTAGGAAAATTGAAGAAGAAGAAGTTTTCTCTTTTTTTGACGAAGCAAAGTTCTTTCAGAGAAATGCGAGATCAAATCACAAACTTCTCAAATGAAAAACAAGGTTTGATATGAAAAATAAATTATTTGAAGACAAAAAAGGAGATGTCAAACGTGTGATATGAGGAGGCAAAGAATACGATTTTGGTTTTGAACTGACAGAGAGAGAGGGAGAGAGAGAGTGGCTTCTACATTGTGCTTATCACCTCTGACGTCACACAGATCATAAAATACATGAAAATGATAAAAGTTAAAATATATAATTAATTATGCTAATTAGGAGAGACATGTAGGACGACTGACTAAGCGGATCGTCATTGTTCAAAGCACAACTGTCACTTGATGTTCATAACAGAGAACCAAATGGTTATCGTTCTCGGAGTGATTATGATTCTATCATAAACATACTGTAAGATAACCAGCTTGATCGATTGGGTCATTTTCTTAGTCGCATCCCCCTCTTTTCAGAGAATTCACGTTTCTTATCATATTTCTAACACTTGATTACTGTATAAAATCACATTTCTCTCATTATGCTTCTCTGTACTCTCTCTTATATGATAACTCTCTCAAATCTTTCAAATTCTGAAATGACCAGTGAGAACGAAGTTTTTTCAAATAAAATTTCTAAATATAGTCATCGCCTATTTCTATCGTTCGACCATCTCGCGCACTTCGTGAACGTTGAGAGATCATTGGCAAACAACTTTTCAATATAAAACTGGATGAATCACGCATATTACCATATAATGAATTTAGATTATCATTTACAAATAGCTTATCAACAACACCCACCCATCCTCTTCATTCACTTTCTCATCACGACTCCCCTCCCACCCATTTCTACTCTGAAATGGATGAGAAGGAAATCTAAAAGCTTACAAGAATAGACAGTGACCTGTCTGTTATGATATGCAGTCAATTATCACATGAGGACAAAGATGAAAAATCAACAAACTGACCCAAATATGGGAATTATCGATTAATTACAAAAGTTATAAATGAAATGTAATGAATAGGTTGAAGCTGGACATCAGAGATCATTGATTGCAAGTGTTTATAGTGATGAAACCTCAAAGAACGATGAGCATCTTATGTAACTTATAAATTCAAATGGATGCGTGACATGTTTACTAATTAGAGAAACGAGGAAGAAGGGGGAGGGGAAAGCGAGGTGAAAGGGTAAGACAACAAAACATTTTAAAAAGTAATCTGATCAAGAAGAGATAGTATGTTAAGACGAGAGAGTAGACAGAGATGAGGTAAGAGAGGTCTATTCATTTGAAAAACAACTGTTTGTCATCATTTCTTTTTTATTTTACTTTTTATAAAACCTTGTGTCCAATAAATGCATTTTTGATTTAAAAATTGCATGTGGTGTAAGCATGAGAATGTTCTGATGAAGAGCAATCATCTGTTGAGCTATGATGCAATTTGTGATAATCAAGAATTAATTTGTAATAGGATTAGAGTAAGACGGGATTAGTTCATAAGGACGCTCACTGCTTTTGATAAAAGTTGTTTTAATTTCAAATATGTTATAAATAACATTCAAACATAGGTTATATGTTATTGCGTCAGCTAATCATAGAGGTTGTTGCAATTGATGACAGTTATGCTAATGGTATGTGTGTACGTGACGTACGTGGATGCAGATATTGCACTCATTTCGAACTCATTCTTACTCATTGCGATCATAGAGAACGGTTGGTTCAGCAGATACGCTGTTGACATTGAGAATGTGAAATCAACGATGTTTTTGATAGAAAGCAGGTTGCACAGTCAGATATGTAAAGATTGATAATTGATATAAAGCTTTGGAAGTAACCTTTTTTGACTTGGATTGCTTATCAGTTAAGCCGTTATTCCTTTATCTCCTTCAGGGTTCCCTTATAAAAGACTTTTGATCTCGAAGATCATTCCATTCTCTCATAATCTTTTTTTTTCTCTAAAAGGTCTTTCTTCTGAAAATTTCTTTACTTTAAGCAAATGGGTAAGTTGCTAATACTAACATTCACACTCTTGGCATATACATTGGCTGCCGGTCCAGAAGTCGGTCTTGGTATCTTAGACAATCTGGTTAGATTACTGTCTCTCTCTTTCTCACACTCCTTATATGAATCTTTTGCAGAACAAATTCTTCTCATCAGATGCAAAACAAGAACAGATTGATACAAACAGAGTTTCTACACAGAAAGAACCAGTAAAAATATATTTTTGTTTTGCCAAAATAATTTTTAAAAATCTGCAGATAAGATGGCAAGATCTAGAGACGGAGCCTTATGATAATGTTATTCATTTTGAGGGAGAAACACATTTCAAGAATGTCAAACAGTTGACATTCGGAGGTGAAAATGCCGAAGGATACTTCAGGTTTACAACTCACACAACTAATTCCTTTTACAGAATTACCTTTTCAGCTTTGACGATTCCAAGCTTACTCTCCAAGCTACTGGTTACGGTACTGACTGTGATCAGGTAAAGCGCTAATGGTAATGATATGCGGTAATAAGAGTCTTCATTAGATTTATGAATTGGATTTGAACATTGATCCAAGAGCACAGACGTTGAGAAGGATCAGTACAGGATTGGGTGGAACTACTTGCTCTTACTTCTTCAAGGAATCGGATAACAACCACCGTTTGTATGCTGGAAACTTCTGGAATGTGAGTTGCTGTCTCATCTACTCAATAGGGTGTTTTCCTTCTAGATAACACCAGAAAAATATCCTGATATCACTAAAACTTGCCCACCAAAGAAATGTGCAAACCCAGACACAATTGCTGATCAGACCTTGAAGAAGCTATGCAACACATCCTACACTTGGGACATCGTACCTGATTATGATATATTCAAGGTACTCAAGAGCATTGAAGGTGTTCACTTTCACATGTTCATAGGTTGATCGCTTTGGAAACCTTGTTCAACGACTGACTAACCACGACGGATATGATGCAGAAGGTGTGGTGTCTCCAGATGGAACTAAAATCGCTTTCACTTCCTTCCGCGATGATGATCTCGACTTATACATTATGAACAGTGATGGAAGTAATGTCACTCGCGTATGATCTTTTCAATCAATACCAAACTATGATATCTTTTAAGCTGACTTATACTCTTGGGTATGACGGTGGAAGCTTCTTCTCACCTGATGGTAAACGTTTGATCTTCCGTGCTAGTCGACCAAAAACCAAAGAAGAAGTAGAGAAATACAAAGTAATACATTGTTGTTGTACTACTGTTTGGAAACGTCTATCCTTCAGCTTCTCCTTTCATACGATTTGGTTGAGCCCATTGCTATGGAATTGTTTGTGATCGATATTGATGGAAAGAATATGAGACAAATCACCAATCTGACTCAAGCCAACTGGGCTCCTTACTATCTGAACGACAACAAGCGTGTAATCTTCAGGTACATTCCAATATCAGTTTGGTATTCTTATACTACTCCTGTTCAGTTCGAACTATGACGATGCCGCAAACGGTTTTGGTGCATTTGCTCTTTACGTTATCAATGACGATGGTACAAATTTGCAAAGAGTATGAATTCTTTCTGAATAACTCAAACGTAGGCTTTATAGGTTACTTTTGGAGATAAGTGGCAATTCAATTCATTTGCTATGATGAATTATGGAGGTAACAAACTAGTATGGGGATCTTCAAGAAATGGATCTTCTCAATACGAGCTGAATTTGTTCATTGCTGACTGGGTTGATCCTTCTAATACTTCTTCGCACACCACCGCATCACCTCCTGAATCTTCCACAAAACTGTCAAATGATCTCAAGCCATGGGCTTCCCTCGTAGCTCTCATCTACTTTCTCTTATCCCACTAAGCTTGCTTAGTTAGTTAGACAATTTTTGAAATATTTGCATACTTATATACAATATGATTGTTTTAAATAGATATTTATTCAAAAGACGTTTCAAAGTGTGACAATACGAATGTAAGCTAAGGGAAGGTTGACGTGCAGTCATGTCCGAGTGGTTAAGGAGATTGACTAGAAATCAATTGGGCTCTGCCC